CTCGTAAAAATGCAGCAGCTGCTTAGCTCAGCTTAACACAAAGGCTAGAAACAAACAACACCTACAAAGTTTGCCAATAAACACTGCATATCTTATTTGCTTCTGCACAGAAACCAAAGTGTAAAAGCCATAATTTGTGGCTTTATGAGGGATTGCTTGTTGTTTTTATACTTTGAAAACAAATGAGCGATAATGGAGGGTGACTCAGGAGGAACGAGTGAGTTGTCCACAAATCACAGAGCTGGTGGTTTAATCTGCAGCTCCTCCTGTCCACATGTCAAAGTGTCCTCTGGGCAGGACGCTGAACCCCAAATTGCTTCTGATGGCCGGGTCTTGCATGGTTCGCTGCAATTGCTGTGAGTGTGTGTGTGAATGGCAGGCAAATTGTAAAATGGTTCAGATAAAAGCACTGCATTAATGCTGCCATTCCTACACTGTTGAACAATTCCTTTAGGGTATGGGTTATATTTAAGGTTGGACCTGGTTTGAGTTTAGGGCTAAGGTTAGATTTGTATTAAAGATGGTGTCTTCCTAAGCTGTGTAATACAAGCACGAGTGCTTGTGTAATTACTGCGTCTTGTGTTTTCAAGAGCATCATGCTTTTATGACTGCCCAGCACTAAACAAAGTCAAGTTCATTAATTTGTAGCTCTGGCAGAGAACAAGGACAAACAGCATCAGAAGAATACCAATTTTACTTCACAAAGTGTGAGTGTGTTGATGAAAATTGCCATCACTGTATGAATTATTCTGTCACTTCCAAGCATGGCAAAGCATGTATGCGAATCCATTCAATCAAGCTTCAGTTCTACAGCAATCATTTCCTCTCCAAATGACTGCTTGCTTGTTTATTGACTCGGGATACAACAGACAATAAAGCATAACATCATGCTCATTCTCATCTCCAGTCTCTTTTTTTCCCCCCATAACACAGTTGGTGGACCCGGCTGTTATTCCAGGAAAATTTCTCTTAATTGATATCTATATCTCTATCTCTATCTCTATCTATATCTACATCTATATCTATATCTATATATATGTGTGTGTGTGTGTGTGCGTGTGTGTGTGTGTATATATGTGTATGTATGTATATATATTTACATATATACGTATATATGTATATATGTGTGTATATGTGTGTGTGTATATATATACATATATACGTATATATATGTATATATGTGTGTATACGTGTGTGTGTGTATATATATACATATATACGTATATATATGTATATATGTGTGTATATGTGTGTGTGTATATATAATTAATTAATTTTTTTTTTTTTTTTTAAAGAAAAACGTCAGCATTAAATTGCATCATTATATCATAATTCCCCAATGGATGTGAGAAATGTGAGCTATCGTAGTAGCAGAGCAAGGGAGAGAGATCTGAAGTTCGTTATCAGAGAATACAGTTTCCATCCCACTCCTGCAAGCGAGGCTTAGGGGACCGCACTCTCCATGGACTCTGTCTGTGTGCCAGACTTCACTGGGTTTAGCACAAGAAGCACAACTTATTGGATTATGGATTCCAGCGTCTATGCTCATATTGCTGGAGGCTGTGTGTGTATGTGCGGGGGTATATGTGGGTGGGCAGCTTGTGAACCGAGGGAGGGATGGAGCAGTAAATACACAATAAATTCCCATTTACTTTCCTATTTTATATGTGAAATTTCTTTACGGCATCCTGTCTTTTCATGTTCTGAGGTTAGAAGTTGAAGCAGACTCGGGCAGTAGCGTACTGTACATGAAATGCAGCCATCAAGGCTTTCTTGTTTCACAGGGATTTAAATGCACCTGTCTAATTTCAATCCTCAGGAAGCGTTGCGTCTGCATGGACAGGATAAGGTTTTGGCACACATTCCTGGTTAGATGGACTCCCTGCTGATGATATGACGCTGCATAATTGTACACATGCAGACAAAGAGCCACAGTGAAAGTGATTTACTGGCACGCTCTCTATTTGTGTCCTTGGTGTCTATTCAACATGGTAACCTTGCTCACCTTTCGTAAAATTCAGTGTAGCTGGTATGGGTTGTTATTTGGGCTGAATTTAATCTTTCTCCCTCTTTTTCTCTTTTGCCCTCATCTACATTCTCTTTTATATCCTCTTTCAGTGCTAGAGGTGCAAAAATAAAATCATGATAATACTGCCACTAGCTGCACTAGTTTCAATATCATTAATACCAGAGAATGAAAGCGTAGTCGGCCACCAATGGGATTTTGTCCTGCTGTGTCCAGCATCGTTCAAGCATGCTTTGATGGTAGATGTGCCCTTTTCTTAGTGGGATACTTACTAAGATAAAGAATCACAGAGGCTGTGAGGATTCCTTGCATTTGCCACTTTATTATTTATTCTGCAGCATGGCACATGGAAGGCATGCAGGGCAGGAGCTGCTGAAAATGTGCTCTGCTTGGAGAGAGGGCGTAATCATACTCACACTATAACAAGACAACAGTTGGAATTGGATGACAACTGGAAATACTTAAAAAGAAGCTACCTGTGTGCTCATTATCGCACCGTCTAACTAACACCACCCGGGCTGCAGACTATATGTTTATGATGGGCAGGCATCTGTGAATAAAGACTGATTGTTGTAAACAAGACAAAAAATCAATGTCACTGTCAGAGTGGACGTTTAATTGCAGAAATTCGAGGAGGGGGGTGGTTCATGAATATAGCGTGTGTGGCCCACAGTGTGCTGGCCGTATTCTGCTCACGTAGCTCTTTGAGGGGCTGAGTGACTGCCTCCCTCCGCCAGAAGCGCCATCCTTGTCCCAGTGGCGTTCCACCTTAAAAAGACGAATATATGTGCCTAACTGGCTCCCTGACATTGACACACCGTGAGTCACGCAGCTCTGCTATTTCAGTATGGCTGCTGGCAAGCCCAGCTTTTCAGTAGCCTCTCCCCTCCCTGCTTTGGTCATTTGTTTGCCTCCCCTGCTACGCTGTTTACTTGTAATTTGGACATCTGTCAAGGTGGTTTGTTTGCTACCCTGTGGTGTGATTAGGCCACCTTTGCCAAATCTGGGAAGATAGATGCAGGTTAAATCAAGTCTTGGCCATAAAGGCAAAGACAGAGCCGGAGTTTGGCTTCTTCTCATCTAGCAAGTTTAGTAGGGCAATTAGGAGAGTATAGGGTGGCAAAAAGGATGCTGTGAAAGAGATGCAACAAGTTCAGAGCATTCAGGTCAGTGGTCACAAATGTATTCATCATGCTTGTACACACTCTGTCCTGCAGAGTTAATGGTGGTCATGTGCATTGCCCCAATACTGACTGCTCAGTCCCGCCTTGTCCTGTCACACAGTCTGTTCAGCTCAGTGCTCCAGTGCCAGAACCTCCTCTTACACCAGGGGGAGGAAGTGGGGCAATTAACCACCTGCTGGTGAAGCAGCCTTACCGCATAGCTTCACACATACCCTGACATTTGCAGGATCACTCATAAAACACATTCACACACAGATTCGTGGGTGTTGTGTCACTCACGCAAGCTGCATGAAGCTCAGGTTTACAGCTTGCAAACACACAGCGTGCAACAAAAGAGGAGGGGGTGGTGCTGATTTTAAAATTTGCTTTCTGATCATGATTCATACTGAGCGTTACTAATTTGTTCATCTCCTTAATGAACATTATTGGCAGGATCGCATTAACCCAGCACTTAAGTTTCCTAATGGCTAACGTCACGCTCCGTGCTCATACTGTACACTCTCATACAATCAATACTGAATAATTTCACCAGTCCATCATCGAAAATGTCTTTCTTTTTAATATTTGGATCATCACCCACAGTGAGATTTAAAACTGATAAATATAAACCACAATGACTGCTCGTATGGAGCTGCTTAACAGCAATTCCAAACTTTCCATTTTGGTAAATCATTCATCGCTGATAAGAAGCTCAAACTATTTGTAATTCCTGCGGTAAGCTTAATCATCTGATAAAGGCTTTATTTATGTCCCGAACAGCAGTAGCAGCTGTCACTTTGTTGGCATCAAACACCTAATCAACATATGTCTAATTGTGCGCCGTCTGGCTGCGAGCAACAACAACAGTGAGAGTGTTTACAAGGGTGTGTCAGCAGGGTGCGTCACAAAAGGGTTTGGAACAATCTGTTGACCAATTCAATCAGAAATAAGTAACAGTGCTGCTCCATAACACCAAAGAACAATGTATGAAAATAGAAAACAACAAATCTGACATGGGATATGATATGATATGTCTGACATGGGATATGATATGGAATGTCAAGTGATGAACATGATCCTGCCCATAAAGCTGTCATCATCTACTGAACATACCTGCAAATAAATTCCAGCAGTATGAATTAATACAATTCCAAATTCTTCTTTTTGGTTTTATATTTAATTACTTTTTTTTTGTTTTGTTTTTTTTAAGAGATTGGCACATTTCCAAATTACAAAAATGTTTTTTTTCCCAAAATAAACCCAGTATGAAGGAGGCTTGACATGTTCTGAACTCTAGGTGTGGCTAACACTTGTACTATGGACAGAGAGGGTGTGGCCATAGTTACTGCTGCTGAGTTTCACCTGAGAACACACTACAGCAGTGCTGGCACACTGGCAGGCCTCAGAGGAGCACATACTTTAACTTACTGGATTGTTTCTTCACTTTAAGGTATGTCACAGCTTTATATATATCTACGTATATTTCTCTTTATTTCTCCATTAATCATTAGAACTTGATTTCCTTGGTAATGTGTACTGACAGGCAGAGTTGGTGTCGTCTGCTAAGTAATCATTCATTCCAGACCTCACTTACACTATAAAAAGAGAAGAAAAAAATAGCTGTAATTTCTCCATTCTGAGGTGCATAAATTAGGGAGGCGGATGACATCGCTACAGTACAGATCTCTCCATTTCCACAAAATTAATTTAGAGGCAAAATACCAGAGTTCCAAAGATAGCAAACCCTGATTGGAATTACTTTTCTCTGAACATGTTCTTTACTTAACATTGCGTTTCCTCTTAGGGTTATAATGGAGCCTGCATTTACGAGGCTAAAGGTGGCCGTGCTGCTCCTGATAACAATCCAGCTGAGGACAGGTGAGTCGGCTTTCATTTCTGAAGAACGTGTTTGATAAGTTTGGACATTTCTCTTTAGCCTATTGACTCTCTGGTCTGAGAAATTAGATCAAGCTATCAGAAGAGATGTTTAATTTGTTCAACCAGTCTGATCTGTGATTCACACCACAGTCTGACTGGTCTGACATCCTCTTAGCTTATCTTCTGACTGGGTGAGTTGCTTTGCAGACACTCAGTGAACCATGTACAAGTAATGCGGGTGGATGACAAGCACCCTGCATAGCATTCATACCTCTTCTGCTGTTTCTGAGGGTCAGACTGCCGTGAGCATTTGCAAAAGTATGACCCTGAGAGATTTTACAGTCTCTAGGGAAGAAATTAGTCCTGGGCCGCCATCCAAGTTGTCTGTTTTAATATACGGACACCGTAAAAACAGAAGTAAAATGAAATCAAGTGCGAGCGGCGAGTGAACAGTGTACATAACATGCAGTCTTATCATGTTCCACGAAAGCCTCAAAGCCCCTAAATCTTCCCATCGCACCACCTCATTAGACCAGCAGTTGACTGCTCCGTGTTAAGAGGTTTGATTGATTCCTTACTTCTTCCAGTGCGACTTCCCAGTGGTGCACTGAGAGGGAAGTGTATCCGAGCCTGTTGTCTGGGACAGTGAGAAGGTGGCCAGGATTTGAATATTTGCAGCTCTTTGCATCAAGCTTTAAGCACAGTGGCAAGTTAGCGTAGCTGTCTCTTCACATAAAAACACATCTTTCTTAGATCACAGAGTTTTGCCCAGGGGAAGTGTTCGCAGTGTAAACATTTGACTGACTAATTTGAGCTTTTTTCAGACTCCCTTCATCACATCTGCCATTTACACGCTTTCATAAATACCCCTGACATGCTTTGTTTTCTCGCAGTGGCATTGAAGGGCTTTCAGAGTGTCATAGTGGATTTAATGATGAGTGCTGTCAAAGGAGAGGCTGATTTGATTTGTGCTCCTTTTAGACGTTTAATGAAGGTTAAACATCTAAATGGGAAAACGGTGGGAAGGCATTTGAGCATTACCAAGACAAATAACCTGGATCTGTTGAAATGTGTTGCGGCACAATAATAATCAGCTCTCAGTTCTTTCTATACACGCCAAGCTTTCAGTAATAATTAAAATCCACGGCTGTAAACAGTGAGTCAGCAGGGTGTGTGTCAACTCGGAGACGTCTTATGACTGCCATTTGTCAAGTAAATTTTGTTCATCTACTCGGCTTTTGCCATCATTTGCCGATATATTTCTGACAATTAATGAGCCCCCAGAGTTTCAAATTAATATGTAACTCATTTTTGCAAAAATACCACTTTTATATTTTCTGCTCCAAACTCTCACATCTTCAGTTTGACTTAAGAGGCCAATTAGTCTCACATCAGCACTCCTGCTCCACCCTGAGACTGCTTACGAGCACAGGCCCAGAGCTTGAATGCCATTAAGAGGAGAAAATATTAATGCGTTTGAGAGTGAAATTAGTTTTATTCTGTCTTTTTTTCTGTTTGTCTCTTAGCCTCAGTAGATGATTATAAAAACTGTTGGGAGGGAGATGTGTACTTTCTAAATTAGACCAATCTGACTAGATTTTTTTCCCTTGTGACAGAGGCGATGCAGGTGACATCCTCGGGGCCGCAGACTATCCAAGAGGCCCAAGGAGTAACGATCACCCTGGGCTGCACCTACACCCCCGGCCCCCAAGACACTGGAGAGCTGGACATTGAGTGGTCCAACGTCCGCCCGGACATGACGCAGAAAGACCAACTGGTACGATGTTTGATGACCGGGGGGGAAATGACCTGTAGTTGTGTAGAGTGTGGCCATCTTTTGGTTTTGAGCTTTGTTAGTAAAAAAAAAATATATATAAAAAAACAGAACTGCTATGAAAAATGTCATCACTCATTGCAATCTTTGCATCTCAGCTCTTGGAATATTCTGGGGGCCTGACGCACCACTTCGGCGACCCCAGCCTCTCCAAAAGGCTCAATTTCATAACAGATCCCAAGCAAGGAGATGCTTCAATCTCTATCTCAGATGTGAGGCTCTCCGATACAGCCACATACCAGTGTAAAGTCAAAAAGTCGCCTGGTGTCGACATGAGAAAAGTCACTCTGGTGGTGCTGGGTGAGGAAGAATTCCTTTTACCGGTTTTACCTGTTTGTTTTCTCAGCCTTCTTGTTCTATCTTTAAATGCTGCTGTCACGTACATGGAATGTAAATGCTCCTCCCTTGTTTCGGCCTCTGCTGATGATCTCATCTTTACATGTTCACCTCTCCCACATCTCAGCCTCCTGTAATGAACCAAAGCATCATTCTAAAACTTTTTTTTTTTTTTTTGTGGTATATGTCTATTTTTTCACCAGTTCCCCCATCAGTACCAAAGTGCTGGGTTGAAGGTGGTGAGGAGAGAGGCGGCACAGTCTCCCTTCGCTGCAAATCCTCTCAGGGATCCACTCCTCTCAGTTATGTGTGGAGGAGGGAGAGCGGAGGGGCAATACCATCCACTGCAACCCAAGGTAAGCAACTTAGCATATAAATGCCTTATTCGGTTGGTGTATTTGTATAGGTAAAGTGTCTGTACTGAATGTTCTCTTCTTCCATTAAGACCCACAGAGCGGGGAGCTTTTGATAAGGAACCATACAGACAGCAACATTGGGAGCTATGCGTGTGAGGCAAAAAACGCTGTGGGCACAGCACAGTGTAAATATGCGCTGCATGCATACAACCGTAAGTCTATGATATCATCACCTAATTTTGCTCTTGAGAACTCTGAGCACTCTTTTGTATACTGGAGGAACCTTTTTATTTTGTGACTGCATTTGCTGCAGTGTTTAGCACAAAATCACATGTAAGCCTCTTGTTGGAGCTGGAATTAATGACTGCAAAGAAGAAGAGCTGTTTGATCTTTAAGCACCATGTCCCCTCTTCCAGCTACAAATAAAGTGGGCGTCATCGTTGGTGCAGTGATAGGTGCTCTGCTGCTGCTCCTCCTGCTCCTGCTTCTCATCTGGCTCCTGATCTGCTGCTGCCATAAGCGTCGCTATGAAAAGGAGGTCGCAAATGAAATAAGGTATTGTATGAAAAAACTATTTCAAGCAGCCGTGAAATAAACTCAGATCAGAGGATCATCTAATTAGGACCTGCCTGACCTTGTTTTCTCAGGGAGGACGTCAAGGCCCCAGAGAGCAGGCCCCCCAGTAGGCAATCCAGCCGGCACTCCAGCCTGCGCTCGGTGCTGGGATATCGCACTCACCCTGGCGTGCAGTACAGCTCTGTGAGGGACTACCTGCCCACCGTCAGTGAATCAGGCCTCATCCACTCAGGAGGGAGTAACGCGGGGGACAAACCTGCTCACCTCAAATACGACCACCGGTACGGATACCCCGTGTAGCAGCAGGCCTGGCAGACATTTGTCTTTGTATAAAGCCACACCTTCTTTACAACCACCTTGTAAAGAACTTTGAACTTTGTATGCTATGTAAGTGATAAAAGGTGCAATATTATATTTACCTGGAGAACAATAGGAGTGCTGGTGTTGCTACTGACTCATAAAATCTTACCTCAATTCTTACGCTGGACAAATGACAATTTAGGCAGTTTCTCATAATCGCACTTGTTATTATTAAACAACTTTTGCTAACACTGTATGTAAAATGTAAATAGGTAAACATAGGTATTTTTATGAAGGTGCTTTTTTTCTATGATATTGGTTTGTTACTTTTTTTTAAACAAAAATGTGTGAACAATAAAGTATTTTAACAGCCAAGTCAATTTAATTCTATTTATATAGGACCAATTCACAACAGATTTCATCTTAAGGCACTTCACACAGTAAGATAAAGACCTTATATTATTATATGTTATGGAGAGAAACCCAACATACCCAAATGATTCCCTCTGAGCAAGATGTTGGCAAGAGTGGGAAGAAAAAAAACTCCCTTTTACACAAAGAGACCTCCGGCAGTACCAGGCCCAGGGAGGGCAGCCATCTGCCTTGACGAGTTGGGGTGAGGGCAGAGGGGAGGGAGAGAAGGATAGCAGATGGAAAACAGACAAACAAGGGATAAGAGAATAATAAACACTGACCTGAGGCCTGTACTGCGGAGCAGGATTTGAGGTTATCGGGGTAACTTCAGGTTTAACTCTGGGTTTTCAGTGCTGTGACAGTGGTTCACTTCTTACAGGAGTACATCACCATGGTAACTTACCTAACCCACTCCCGAGTGGGTTCTGTTCCCGGTGAGAGATCAAGGTGTATGACAGCACCTTCTATCAGCTCTCTTGGAAAATGGCATCAGCATTAAGTAAAGCTCCCACAGAGCTCAGTGCGCAGATAGTGAGAGGGAAAGATAAGAGTTTTTAGAGCAATATAATCTTAAAACATGAACTGTTTCAAACACTAAAGCCTTGCAATTGTCGACCTTTTAAGATTTACAGCATGTTTGCTTAACAATTTGAAGTAGTCTCTTTTATGTGTTCTTTAATTTCTCCCAAGACTGTTTAACACAGTCAAGTAACTGAAAGAATAGGACTAAAACTGTCTCACACACCATGACAATATATATCTAAGAAACATGTTTATTTAATAGAATATATACAATTGTAATTGCAGTCAGATCTGCTCATGCCCCAATAACTTGATGTGATCTGAAAAGCCTGTTGACTTACTATTTTTTAAATATATTTTTTGGGGGGCTTTTGCCTTTTTTAAGAGCAGTAGAGATAGACAGGAAAGGGGGGAGAAGAATGGGGAGAGACCTGCAGCAAAGTGAGCAGGAGTCGAACTCACGACCGCTACGTCAGGGAACTATAGCCCCTATACATGAGTCACCCGCTCAACTAGGGTAGCTACAGGGGCTCCCCTTGACTTACTAGTTTGAACAGTTTACCCTTGTTTAACCTGCAGCTTTCTGTCATGCTTGGGCTTTTAGTCTGTAAACCCCAGAAGGGACAAGGAGAAAGAAAAAAAACAGGGAGAGGAAAAAAAATAGAGGTGTCTTTTTCGAGATCTCGCAAAACTATAGGTAACTCCAGTCTGATAGGTGGTGGTAATGCACCTAAACGTTGCATGCCAACCGCCAAATCAATAGTAGAAGAAGAAGAAGAAGAAGAAGAAGAACCATAGGTAGATATACTTCTTGGTCTTTTGGCAGTGTGGAGAAAGAACTATGGAGGACACCCACCCATACACGAGTTTTATTTTGAATTAGGCCTAGAAAATAAAGACATTCAAGCAGTGCTTAGCAAGAGGCACAGTTTTCACAAAACATCCAATAAGATTGATGCTACTTTAGCAAAAGTTTTTGCAAGATCCCGAGAAAGTTTTGTGAGATTTCGCAAAAGATGCCTCTATTTTTTTCCCCCTCCCCTGTTTTTTTTTCTTTCTTTCTTTCTTCATGTCCCTTCTGGGGTTTCATAGTAATATGTGCTGAAAATCTTTATATTTCTCTACTATTACAGCTTACCCATTATTTGTAAAATATGTCACTCTGATGCCAGTAGACCTGTCCATGTCTGTGATTGGTCATCTGTTACCAACTCCACCTTTTTCATTCAAATGTGCTCATATCGAAGTTTAGAAACCCTGGTTGACTGATCGAGTTGATAACCAGCTTCGTAAGACCACTTATCCAGAGTGTGGCTGTTAGGTTAAGTGATGCCAGATAATAAAAGGATTCCCTGGTTATGCTGCAATTGCTTCCTGGTACAGGCCTCAGGTCAGTGAGGCCAGTAACTGCAGATCAGACACGTGTTGCTCTGGAGAACTACTTCTGCAGAGAGGACAAAGCACAAACTACAGGAGAGAGAAGGCAAGGTTGGTGGCATTTAAATGTATTAAGAGGAGAGGAGAGGTGCTCAGTGCATCATGGGAAGTTCCCCCAGCAGCTTGGGCCTATAGCAGCATAACTAACTGATGGTTCAGGGTTGCCTAAGCAGTCCAAGCTCTTAGCATTTTGAAAAAGGAAAGATTTTAAACCTGATTTTAAAAGCAGAGCGGGTGTCTGCCTCCTGAGCTTAAACTGGGAGCTGATTCCACAGCAGAGGAGCCCGGTATTCAGTAAGGACAGTTTCATCTAAATCCCATTTTAAGCTCACTGAGCATTCAGATTTCTGTGCCATGGTTTCCTCTTTAATTGCTTCAAGACAAAATATAATCAAATAACATTTGAAACACATCTGCCATTCAAATGATGCATAATGTTATCTAACCAACACACATCAAACTTAACTGAATGAGTTGAATGAGCTTTGCTATCATAATGAAATCAGACATTTTCTGTTGACATGGTAAATTAGGTGCTATTATATGAAAGCAGGCAATTTCTCAATGGTCAGAAGTTCAAATACAATTTAATTAGAGAGGTTAATTAATGGAGAATCCGTTAAAATTAGCACAGTGCAAAAGCTGGCTTTCAAAACTTTGATTTCGATGCATAAACATGGTCAAACAAACAGCTTCTGTGTTTTTTCAGTGAGGAGAGTGGTATTTTCGGGGGTGTATGTGGATCAATATAGAATCAAACACTGAGCTGCTCATGTGTCAGAAATATCGGGAGACAGTGAAGTCAGCTTTGCCTCTGATCCTCTCATGTGCATCTGCCTCCTTGAAAATTTTTCATTTTGCAGAACAAAGAGCTGCAAAATTGCCTGGCTCGCATGGTGCGTCTCGCCAATGTTTTGCAAAGCAGTCAGTAAACCAGTTATTAGAGTGACTGCTAACAGTCGAGGCGCTAACCTGCAGCTGACACCTTCGGTAGGCAGAGTCAGCACTGTGCCTGCGGCCCCGCCTCTCCGGGAAAAACACCCCGTATTGGCCTGATCCCATCTTCAAAAGGTGAATGTTGAATTAATAAGAGCTGTGAGAAGTGCCGTAGGTTGCTGAGGCTATCAGCAATAAATTCTGCCCCCCGGTCCCCTTAAGGCCAGAGGCCAGGCTGCACTCATCTGTAAAGCAGTGGTACTGTTTCAAATGATCAAAAATAGAGAACATCTAATTTGGACTTTTAAATTTTAGGCACGCTTTTCTAAGATTACCTTTTCATGAAGCTGTAAGCAGAAGCACTTAAGGTTGCATTTGCAGCCCTCCTCCACACACATATTAAAAACATACAATGTGCTACTGCTGGATCTGACTTTGTCACTTGTTTGCCTCGCAAGGAGACAAACTGTCACCCATTCGCTTGTACTTGGTAATGTCTGTATCTTTCTGTTTGCTCAGGCCAAATTTTTAAACATGTGCACATCCATCAAGCTTTTGTTTTTTTTTAAGTGCACACACGAGTCTGTTCTTTGATCCATGTATGTTAGTGGGGAAACAGATACAATAATTAATTACAATTACTATTCATGCAACCTCACTCAGAAATTGGATAATCTCTTTTTTTAATAATAACTTTCTTAGAGAGCAGAACTTTTACCAGGGCTGGCATAGTAATTATTAAAAAGACGGGAAAAAAAGGAAACCTCCCACTGCAGTCTGCCTTCACATCTAGATTCAAAGAGCTTTGGCATTAAAAAAAAGAGCTTTTTCATGCCATTATGCAAAAAGTCAGAATCTGTCCTTGAAATCTTTATTTATTCAAAAAGAAAATTGTGACTATGGGAAGCCATGTTAAATACTTATGCAATTAGGATCTTGCTTGTTTTGACCGGATGGTTGCTTAGGTAAATGAAGTAAACAAGAAATTTAAATAGAACCGATATATCATTTAAGTCAACATCTTCATAAAAGTCTGTCTCCAAACTAAGTGTCCTCCACAGCACAAACTTCAGTGATAAGGTGTTGCATAAGCAAGGTGATTCTGAGGTGATTTGCTTTTCTTATCAGGTAAATAGGTGTGTGGGCGGTTTGGTGTTTGTAAATATGCGGCGGTGCTGCAGGAATAATCGTTTGCATGTGGAGTGTGGTAGATTGTGGTCTGTGGATGGGTTGAGCCGTCGCGCTGCGCTGATAGACATACAGTAAATTCCATAATGAGCACAGATCCTTCCCACCCAATGCAAATAAGCTGTCACCACTACCTGTGGTCAGAACTGATGCAAATCATACCTACTGCTCACATATAAATCCCTGTGAAGGAACTCTTAAATCCAAGGGTTTCACCTTGCCGTGTGCATCCAGCAGACAACTCCAGGCAAGGATTAATACTTAGATAAACAAAACAAAACAAAGGATTCTTCAGCCGCAGCCAAAGGTATTGAGTCAGACAACGTATTGTGACGACTGGCAGGCTAAGAGAATGAAAGCAGGAACCTTCAGTGAGATTCAGAGTGATAAAAAGCCTCGTCTGACCCAAGGGAGCTTCGTTTGAGGTAAAAATGGCAAGACGTTTCTTACCCTAATTACTCTCACCTCCTTCCCCTGAGCTTCACTTCACATATGACCGCCTAAATTTCACATTTCACATATATTTTTAACCATAATAGAAGATTTTAATTGAGCCTATTTGTATCTGTTTTATGTATTTCAAAGGCTTAATGTGTGAATCTTTTCCCCAGGCCCCACTGACAAACTGTGACTGATTCCATTCTGTGACAGAAATCAAGAATCGTCTGGTTTGGAGTGTGTGTGCGTAATTTTTTGCCTTCTTGTCATCCCTTTGAAGACAGAAAGAAACAAAATACTTCAGAATCCCACACGTACTGCTGAATGGTACACAGAGTGTAAACTTATTCCCATAAAAGTTTGCACTGCAGAAGCATAGGCAGTATGCTTGGGGTAGTTAAGTTTAGCCTCTGGGTGATAACAGGTCTGCTGGCCGTGTTGACTGTTGTATTTAATGTCTATATCTTTTTGATGAGCCTGTGGAACTACAAGCAGAAAAAGCAGTGGGGTCCCAGTGATACAATCATCATGGCTCTGTCGGTGGCGGATGTGGTTCACCAGCTGGCCTGTTACTTCTGGATGACCATGGATGAGGTGGACAGCGATTGCCGCGTCGCCCAGCTTATTTACGCCATCCTGCTGCAGGTTATCTTCAGTGTCAAGTTCACCATTATGTGGGACACCAGCTTTCTCACCTTCTACTACAGCACCAAGCTGGTCAACACCCCCGATCACTGCTACACACACATCCAGACTGCCATCCTCAAGCACGTCACCTTAGCTGTTTTTCTCATCCCTCTGTGCGGCCTGTGCACCTGCATGCCGATGGTCGTAATCTTTCACCCAGACCACAATGCCACAGATGCAAACAAAGACTGCGGGGTTTTAGTTCCTGACACCAAGTCTGGCCTGGTTTACGATGTCTTTTATTTGTTCCTCGCTGATGTACTGCCTGGGCTGCTCATGATGAAATGCTGCATCTCCATCTCTGTTCACCTGGCAGTTCATCTCCGCCACATGAAAGCCAGCACCAACGGGGCCCACCTCCCGAAGCTGGGCGCCCAGATGAGGGTGATCGAGATGGCTCTGTCTCTAGTGGCCGTCTTCATTGTGTTCCTCGTGGTCGACCTGTACGTGAACTACCAAATAGTGGTGAACCACGAGAACGACATTGTGCTCACGTTCCTCTTCACGTCGGTCTACACGACTGTCAACGCCGTCGTGCTCATCTACGGTAAAAAGAGCTTTTGGAAAGCGATGTTACGTGAATATAATGTCTTCCTAGATGAATATCCGTGTTTGTCTTGTCTGAAGGTGCCTGAACAAAAGGCTAAAGCCAGCACTCCTGCAGAAGTCAAAAACTGAAAAGCCAATTTGCTTTGCGCTGCAGGTCTTTGTGCCGAAATCAATTGGTCATTGTCTGTGCTTATTAAAAACTTTGAAGTAACTTATTCTTTTATCTTCTGTGCTAGCAATTTCAGTAATGACCACTGTCCTGCTGTATAACATAATTGCAATTTCTTACATCAATATGGTATTTTAGCTGCGTTACACAGTTGGAGCAGAGAAAGTACGACTGTTCAAGTGATGCACACAGCTGCCAGGTAGCCATCTAAATCACAAGCTCATCAGACTGTACCTATGAACATTAATATTTCAGTAGAACAAATAATAGTCAGGCCTGTAAAATAGATCCCCAAGCATGGTTGCCTGGACATGATGTAACTCTGTGCCCATCTCAAAATGTTAAAAAATACATGTGACTGTGGTGAGAGTACAGAGCATATTAATAAAACAAGAAAGTACGCGCAACCTGGATTTTTTTTTTCTCCTTCTTCTTAGCATCACAGAGGATTTAAGAGTTTTTCCTCTGTCAGGTTGCAGATAGTTTAAGCTGCACGTGGGGGACTACAGTAGCCTGCATGTACCTGGAAGATTGCCAGTCCCAACACCTGCACTATTTGCGAGCGAAAACATAAACCTGATGAGGAAAAACACTCACAGCCTTCTCTCCTCTGGTGTATCTGTCCGTTGCTCCTCGGCAGAAGTGTGTGCACCGGCACGCGTCGGCTCCCAGGTGTGACTGTGTGGAGCTGGAGCCGTTGCGTGTGGATGTGGAGCTGGGCGTTCCTGAAAAGTGCACTCATGCCCAGAAAACCTACCCTCAGTAAATAGAGGTTCAAGAAATGCAGCAGACCTCTTTGCAATGCTACATTAGTTCACACCCTCTGGCACCACCTAGTGAGGTTCAAAGCAGAGATACAATAGTGCAGCTAATCCCACTCCACACAGACGCTCGGGATCCCTCAAGCAGCTAAATGGACAAAGTAAAAAAGGGCATATTTTCTTTTGATGCGGTGGAGTTAAGTTGAACCGAGGCCTGGGCTTCCATCCCTGCTGTCTTTCTCGCTCGGTGTGAGGGGGCTGGTTTCAATGTGACGGGCAGGAACAGTTGGACTGTGACAAAATATGGGCCATTTATGATGGCCGCACTCAAAATTGAACATTAGTCTCCATCTTTATCTGTTTTTGTTTGGAAAATGGCAGGGATGTACAAAGCACTTAGATGCTTTGCTGCACTTACAACAACATAAAAATATAATGATTATGTAGTAAAAGAACAGAAGTATCAACAGTAAAATGTGCTTACAGTATCAAAAGTGAGTAAAAAGTGGTGCTCAATCAACACAAAAAGGGCCTCTGCAACTGATGTTCCACATGTATAGCAATATTTGATTGTTAATGCTGTTGCGGCTAGTTTTGGCTTCAAGTAATTTTAACTTATATTTGATAGTAGAAGATGATTAATGGTTTAGGGGGGAAAAGCAGCTACGCAACAGTTCAGCCAGGAACATTTAGACTTTTGTCTTATCTTTGATTGATGTTTTTATTTCCACACAGTTTCTTAAACACCACACTACAAAATGCTTTACATGAGACAAAAAAGGCAACAAGAAACAAGTAGAAAAAGACTACAATGCTGTTGAAAAAATACGTATGTTGGGGTTTAAAAGGGTAAAATAAACAAATTGTGATATGAATGAATAGACAAACTAAGAGGGGTTTTTTTTATGTCTGATTTGGAACACTGTTTAGGTGGGTGGTATGAGTCAAAACAACATCCACATGAATGCCAGGACCCAGGGCTGGTCAGCAAAACATTGCCCTGTAACGAGACAAGCGGTGTTGCACACTACAGCAGGTTTTATGTTGTACCTGATCAGTATATGTCAGCGTTGTATTTACAGCTTGTTTCTGCTGCCCCCAGGAGGCCAAAAATTCAGGCAGGTTTAAAATGCTGATACTCTACTTTTTGGTTTGTTTTCACTTTCCTTTATTGTGTTACAGCTTCTTTTTTTTTTTAGCGCTTGTAAAAGGATTGCAAATTTACAAAAGGGAGTTATGCTCTCCCGTGGAAAACACTGCTCCTTACTTGCCTGAAACGCCCCATTTGAAGTCTTGCTGTTACCTTTTTACGTCAGTGTGTAACTACATTTTGTGATCTGCTTAGTGGGTAGTTTTGCACGCCCTAAAAGAATCATAAGCATCCTGGCAATCTGCATTATGTACCCAACAATAAATCAGTTTGATTGGGCCAGCTGACCAATCAGAGCAGGCCACACTACTCAGAGGGCCTTAAAGAGACAGGAGCTAAAACGAAGCCTTCAGCCAGAAGGTGTGAAATATAATGTGTTGTTTGAATATTAATCTATTATAATCTAGTAGACCTTAAAAATAAAATTATGAACCTGTAATGTGTACAATATGGGCTCCAGAGGGGAAATGCCTCTGATCTGATCACTTGTCTCAACGATCTCCAAAATGTTTATTGTTCTCTTATGTATTGTTTATCTGTTCTCCATCAACCGGTCAAGACATATGACCGTCCTCCCTGCGCCTGGGTCTGTTGGAGATTTTTCTTTTTGTCCTTCCCAGTAAAGGGGAGGTTTTTTGTTCCTTGTTTGTGCTTGCTCAAAGGGAATCAATAGGAAACTGTGGATCGGTTGGGTTTCTCTGTTTCAAATGTGTATGGTCTTCACCTTACGATGCCAAGTGCTATGAGATGACATGTTGTGAATTGACGCTATAAAACTAAAATTGTATCGAAATGCCTCTTTGCAGGGACTGCTAATAACTCATAATCAACTAAATCGTAGCTCTCTCAAGTACAATCACAAGCACGAAATGTTCAGAGCTTTATAAATCTTTAATTTACATTTTTTTCTGCAAAACCATTATCTGAAAAGTAGCTGTAAGATGTTGTAGAGTAAAACATGCAGTTTTCCTCTTTGAAATGTATGCAAATAAAGCAGAATAATAAAAAAAAAAAGAAATACTTGAGCCCTAAGTGTCTACAAATTGCTCAGGGTAAATGTTAAATTATATATAAACATTTGCAACCATGTTATAGAAAAATGCTTCAAACTCCTTTCCACTAAATTCTCTCTCAGAGTAATGTAACTGCCTTTGACCTCCGATTGCAGAACAACTCAGTTAAGACACAAATGTGTCAGTGGCTCACAGTCAGTCGGGAGGAGGCTGGAAGACGTCTGTGATGTAAATGAGAGAAACAAAGCTGTTGTGATTTATGTGCTCAGATTCTGTACAGTATGAAGTTGTAAACCGCTGCTTTATTTGCATGAGTAAACATCACTTCAAATAGTTATTGCTCCTGAGACTTTCAGGGAGAGTGATATTCTAAACCTCACTATCTGACAGGAAGGAAAAGGCTATTAACAATCCAGATTAGCAAGTCCAGCACCCATCACACAAGCCCTATAAACATCTTATAAACTCCTCCCTGCAGACGGCCTCCACAGATAATGCCCCGTCAGCTCGCGCATCAGTGTGAGCTAAAGTGGCATCGCTGACCTACACCTACTCTTATTGTATTTGAAATCACCAGTTTTATGACAGTTTGTTGGATGTTTTGAGCTTGACTGGGTAATTTTTCATGCTATCAGGAGCATCTAAATGACTGTCTGTGTGAGCGCTGTGTTTCCAGTGAGGGCGGAGAATAATCTGTATTCTCCGTGTTGACAGGACCGCAGTTAAGAGATAGAGAAGATGCCTTTCTAAAATAATCAATGTCATCAAAAAAAAAATAATGGGAGTTTGGTGACCTTTCAAAAAGTCTTTATTTTTGTTCAGTCAACGACAGCTCGGTCATAGAAAAAAATCACCATATATATCTCTTGAGACATTTGTTTGTATAAAATTGATGCTTGTTAGAAAATGCGTACTGTACAAAGAAGTTAATCCCTTGTAAAACAATTCAAATCTAAAAATAAAACTGAAATATTGACTTAACTATAGATTCAGTTTGATCATTTTCAAACCACTTTACATGCATAGATTTAGCACTCAGAAGGCACATAAATTGTATTGCTCCTTTAAAATTATGTAGACAGCGCACAGTAAAGCAGTATGTTGAAATTACACTAAAAATTACACTGCATTAAAAATAAACCATCTCTGTACACACTGTGTGTGCAAAACTATGGAAATATTACATTTATTGAATAGTAATAATTTAAATTTCAATAATGAACTGATAAAAAAAGAAAATCTACCAACACCTGACATGTCAAACTAAAGTAAACTTAAGAAGCATTTAAGCTTGTACCATACAGCGTTTAGGGTTCTTTATAGGACCAGTTTGACTTTTTTTTTTTTTGTGAAAACTTTGGAAAATATGCTTATTTAGTTTCTTGACGAGTATTATCTGATAAAATACACACCACTCTTATTTCTGTGCAATAAATATGTAGCTGGAGCCAGCGGCACGTTAGCTTAGCTTAGCATAAAGACCAGAAACAGCTGGACTGGCCCGGTGTGAAGGTCTGGCTAGTAGTACCCCTAACACAACTGTTAAGTCAGATCTCATTTGCTCAAAAACAACAATTTGTGGTGTTATTGGACAAAAACCACATTGACCACAACCTCGGCAAGAATGCAAGTAAGTGTATTTCCCAAATATCAGACTAATTCCTTTAAAGGTGGAGTTTGCATTTCTAGAGAAAGCCTGTCAATAGTGAGCTAGTTGGCATATTTATTTATAGTTAGCCTGTGCCTAGTCTGACTCACAAGATGTAGACTACGGGTATAAGCCTGCCATTGACACCATTCCTTTCAAGAAGGATTCTCCTCCCCTTCTGCTATCTGTGTGCCATTGTTTTCAAAATTCCTGTCACCATGAGAAACAACAACAATCATCTCCATTTCTCCTCCCTGTACCCCTGCTCTGTGCATGAGCATGAATAAGCCCATGGACACACTTAAATAGTGTTGTGTGGATTAGTGTGAGCCACTTTGTTTGCTTCCCATTCGCAGAGTTAGGGCTGGATTACTTTACAGCTCACAGC